ATAAAGATTATATTCAAGTATATCGCTCAATTAGAAGCGAATTGTGTCATTCGAGCACATTAACAAGGATCTATAAACAAATAAATTATCATAATTAGGATTTACTTCAAATATATTGTTCAGTTCGAAGCGAAGTATGTCATTCAAGGAGATTAGCAAAGATCTCTACAGAAATGAATCAAGCTTAACAGAAAGATTCTGTTCATAAAACTAGCTTGGTTCAATTTATTTATTTGAATAAGCAATACGTTTGTTGAAAAGGTGCCAACTAAATAGTCAATACAACTGTTCTGTTCAAGTATTGGTTACATTACTGAAATATGATATACCTGAAAGTGTACTGAAAGAAAATGCAGAACATGAATGGACTGAACAAATAATCCGCTCAAATATCTACTTATGTACCGTAAAATGTGAATATAATATATTTTGATGAATGATCTGAAGATATTTGGATATTTTAAATCAAACATTAATTCAACTGCGTCAATGACTGTAAAGAAAATATCACAGCTGCTGTTTCAAATAATGATGACATAATGTATGCACAGTCAATACAAAGACTCTATTCGAATATTTAAAATAATTTGAAGTCATCGCTCGACACCAATCAATGGTCAACAGTAAGCATTGAATACGGTAGGAATTTAACTGAAGCTGTTGTCGTGATAGTACCTAAATGAATATGATGAGTTGTATTTGCTTTAAAAATATATTGTACTACATAGTATCCACGGAGTGCAGTGACAAATCGATTTCAACTCGCTTTTGAATTTTATATAAACAGTCCTTACCATTTTCACGATATAATTTGGGCTAGGTTTAGTATTTGGAAATATACCACTTAAATACATTGATCTATCAGCTCGAATGAACCGTAATATGTTCTATTCTGTGGGGCTTACTTCTAAATAGTGAATAGTGAATATTCAATCTGAATTCCATTGTTTCCAGCTTACAGTTGCTCAGGCATAAGTTTCCCAGTAAATGAAAGAAAAAACATATATTTTGTTGTGGTGTCTTATTGTTGAACGCTTTTGCCGTTATCAATTATTATTGATTGTGCGTATTGCAATTTAAACGTACTATTGCCATAGTGTAACAATCTCATTAAAAAGGTGGAAACGCATACTCTTGATAAATGTGCTTCTTTTATTGAACACTTTGATTCTATCTTGTGTCATAGTTCATCTTTCTTTCGTACTACCTTTCTTCACGTTGCGTGAGAATAGTGAGATTCTTATATAATAAAAAAAATTACTTCTGTCTTCTCATGAAAGAAAAAAAGTTACAGAGACAAAATTTCTAAAGTAATTCAATAATCTCAAAGTTTCAAGGAAAAAAAAAAAATTTCGCAGCAACACGTGATACACAACTCGCAACTGAACAACGATTTCATGATGGTATCTACTGCAAGATGAATACTAGCGTTAAACGATTATGTATCGCATTATTNCATCATTTTTTCTGTACAGATAGAGATTTTAAAGGCCTACAAAATGATAAAAAAAACATGAAGTGAAATATGCTGTGCTCGATAACTTTCAAGGAGCTGACTGTCAAAAGTTTATGAGAAAACCAGTGATTGGCATAATGTGGCTGGTGGGAACTCGATTATCCATCATAGAACCGCCGTGATTTTTTCTGTGCAGAAAGAGATTTTCAAGGCCTACAAAGTGATAATAAAACATGAAGGAAAATATGCTGTGCTCGAAAATTTTCAAGGAGCTGACTGTCAAAAGTTTATGAGAAAACCAGTGATTGGCATAATGTGGTTCATGGGAACTCGATCACCCATCATAGAACCGCCGTGATTTTTTCTGCACAGATACAGATTTTTAAGGCCTATAAAATGATAATAAAACATGAAGGAAAATATGCTGTGCTCGAAAATTTTCAAGGACCACACTGTCAAAAGTTTATGAGAAAACCAGTGATTGGCACACTGTGGTTCCTGGGATCTCGATTACCCATCATAGAACCGCCGTGATTTTTTGTGTGCCGATAGAGATTGTGAAGATCTACAATATGAAAATAAAACATGAAGTAAAATGTGCTGTGCTCGAAATTTTTTGAACAACCCTAGTGTCAAAAGTTCATGTGGACAGGATTGATCGGAAAAGTTTGGCTCCTGGGATGTCGATTACCTATCATAGAACTGTCACCATCCTCTCACGCACAGGTGATTTATGGAGAGCTGAAAATTTAGCGTGTGAAGCTAGGAAGTAAGTTTTCCTTAAAACGTTTCAAATGTGTGGACGAAATCTGGTTATACTTTCGTAATTATTCTGGAGGCTCCGGATTTTATCGAAAATGATCGTGATGCCCATGTAGCCGATCCGGGTAATAACGAATGCAATGACATAAGAATGCATCCCAAATAATGCATTGCAACGCATCATTTGACTTGCCTTTTAATGTAATTGCATTCATTATTTCAATGATCAGCTGCGTGAGTGGAGATATTGGATGCATTTTCAAGTTCAGTAAATGGTTATTTCTTAGAAGAAAGAAGGTATTTCAAGTGGTGGTAAGTGCTAGATTGTAATGTTTCTATGAAGCGTAGTATGTATCTAACGCTAGTTGCGATCATTTCTCGAGTTAGTTGAAAGCACAGATGAAAGCTGCAGAGCAAAGCTATGGTTGTTGTGATAAGTTCAATTCAATGGAAGAGAAAGTCTTTCAGAAGGATAAATAGGAAGAGGGGATATCTGAGAGAGAGACAGTAGGATGAAATGTAGAATTTGCCGAAGAATGGAATTTGAGAGAGGATATAGGAGAGAGAGAGTGATTCTGAGGCAACATATTTCACACGGACAGATATTTGAATAGAATACTTTAGAAAGGGACAGACAGAATCAGAGAAATAATGTTTCACAAAGAGACAGCTTTAGAAAGATATTGAATACGGAGAGAGAGATTCGCAGAGTCTGTTTTATAGATAGAGAGGAGTAAAAAGAGAGAAAATATGATGTGTACGCAACGTTAATTATTGTTTTATTTCACACAAAATCAATTCACAGAAGTTTGGTGTCTTCGCGTGTTATGGTAATCACCTGAATGCTAGCAGTCGATGCATTATGAAGGGAAGTGTATTGTGCTTTTCGTTGCTACTCGTTTGTTTCTGACTTTTCTGCCGACAGATTGCTATATTTGTACTACGTGCTGTGAAATGTATTATAAGTGGATAGCTCTAGCAGAATTTTACAATTTTCTTGCAACGACCGACAGTAACCAGCAAACCACAGCTACAGCTACTGGACACGTCACTGAGTAAGATAGAGAGTGTATGAATGACGAAAATGAAGAGGCAGAAGAGTGTATCGATAACGAAAATGATAATAACGGACCGACTGATGACGCATCCAGTGAGACCGATTAAATGGATAACGATAGTGCTAGGTGTGGGTGTGGATGAGCGCAGTCAACATACTGGTGAAAAGAAAAGACATACCACCATACCCACACCGACTTCACATCCACACCCCACACGCAACCTCGCGCCTCATGTTCTCAATCGCTGGTATCGAAGATAGTACTAATCATGTCTGCCAAGGGTCATGTTCTGCATACTATGAAAACGATTGATATTCGTATACACCATTGACTGTATGGTGCTTCCAAATTTTCGAGCACAGCGTATTTCACTTCATGTTTTATTATCATTTTGTAGGCCTTAAAAATCTCTATCTGTAGAGAAAAAATCACGGCGGTTCTATGATGAATAATCGAGATCCCAGGAACCACAGTGTGCCAATCACTGGTTTTCTGATAAACTTTTGACAGTGTGGTCCTTGAAAATTTTCGAGCACAGCATATATTCCTTCATGTTTTATTATCACTTTGTAGGCTTTAAAAATCTCCTTCTGCACAGAAAAAATCACGGTGGTTCTATGATGGGTAATCGAGAACCCATGAACTGCATTATGCCAATCACTGGCTTTCTCATAAACTTTTGACAGTGTGGTCCTTGAAAATTTTCGAGCACAGCATATTTTCCTTCATGTTTTATTATCATTTTGTAGGCCTTAAACATCTGTATCTGTGCAGAAAAAATCACGGCGGTTCTATGATGGATGATTGAGTTCCCATTAACCACATTATGCCAATCACTGGTTTTCTCATAAACTTTTGACAGTCAGCTCCTTGAAAGTTATCGAGCACAGCATATTTCACTTCATGTTTTTTTTATCATTTTGTAGGCCTTTAAAATCTCTATCTGTACAGAAAAAATGATGCTCTTGTAGTGGATTATGGTTGTCATCAGATGAATGACACTTTACTCGCTCAAGCAGAAATCTAGTGTCGCAAGACGTTCATGCAGGCTTTTTCCATGCACTTCTAAATCCTGTAAAAATGGTCTGGATGAGTTGGCAGTAGGTTTTTCTTGCAACGGTAAGCTTGAAATTCGAAACCAAGATGTGTTTTGTGGTTATTTTTATTTAGGGCCGTTTTGTGTACAAAGGGTCCCCCGTCCTTTGAAAAAAAACGTATGAAACATAATCAGGGCCTAAGTCTATCTTCAGTCGAATAAAAACTAATCGATTTTGTTGTGGTCAGAAAAATGGCTTTATCCGCCCTCGTCCTTTAGATTCCCCATCATGTGCATAAATCATGATCAATAAATAATGACAGAAGGTTACAAAAGGCACGAGGAGCCTGCGAATAGACGCTATTGTAAATTCGAACCAAAAAGTAAAAGATTCACACCTTTCATTAAATCGAGCCGTAGTTTGGATGATCTTTTTCTTCATATGGGTACTCATCCTGTCACCCTTAACTGTACCTGACATCTACTCAGACCAACATCCATATCACCCACACCCACACCATTAAGGATTGAAACTAAAACAGTTTGTACTGGTACAAGCTACATATACTTAGTCTAGTAAAAACAATAATTTCTAGATTTTCAAGCACATGTGAGTTTGCGTTGAAATTTGTCAGTATTAGTAATACTGAGTATTACTTATTAGAAAGAATTTAAACGAATGATAAACTTATAAGTTCATTTGATTTTTTTTAATCCACTTATCAATTGCACGATTAACTTCGTCTGGTTTTTCTTCCATTACCCAGTGCCCTGCATTTAATTCAATCATTTCATAATTTGGAATAAACTCGTTTTGTTCTGCGATAGAAAAGATAGGACATACATCAAATGATTTTTCTTTAATAAACAGAACTGGCTGTTGAATCATTGGATCTATATCTTTTTCATCCTTCCAATCGATATTTTCAATTGCTGCTGTGTACCAGTTTAATTTTGGTTGCATTCCTTCGGCAAGATATTGACGAAGAATTTCATAATCATTCTCTGTTAAATATGAAACTCGAATAGTTCGTTTTCTATTTGTTACCCATTCTCTCAACTTGCCAAGTGGAAGAAAATCTGTTCTGAATAATGTTGTATTACTTGCATAGATAATATCAATGAAACTATCCAAATTATTCTGAATAATCTCGGCAGCATCAGCAGAATGAAAAAAATTCCAATAACCGAAAACTTCGAATCCACACGCTTCTTTTGAATCATTTAGTACTTGGTTAAAATTGAATATAGATGGTGGCCCATAAGGAATACTAATTAAGACAAGACCTAATGTTCGTTCTGAATGATACAAAACAAAGCGGCTTGCTGGGCTAGTACCCCAATCATGTCCAATTACAAAAACTTTATCTATCTGTAAATAATCTAGAAGAGTAATTAAATGATTAACCATTAATTTGGCTTTATATTCAGTTGCATTTAATGGAGAATATGTCTTGCCATAACCCATCATATTCATTGCCAGACATCCATATCCTTGTTTGGAAAAGTGCTCAATTTGATGACGCCAAACATGAAGTGATGATGGAAAACCATGTAGAAACAATAAAGTCGGTTTTGAATTGATACCGTTAGTTTCTGATTTAATATAAAAATATTCATAATTAATACCAGTAGCAACTTCATAATTTTCTGTTTCCAATCTATGACCTAATATAAGACATTTGCCTTGAAATATAATAACAAAAGGTAAGATTATATACCATAAAAAATATATTAAAACATTCATTTCTTTTTTTTATTTGAATACGTTCGATACTTAATATGAAGGATAAAAATCTTTACATTTGTTCTTTTATTGTTTTTTCGTTAATCTTACATTATGATTAAAGTAAATCTGTACGTAAATATCTATACTTTTCTCTCTATAAATTTAAATTTCAAACTGATAGGGTTTTAACTATTGTAAATTCAGATATTCTTAACATACAAATGCATCATTCACTAGTCTCATAAATAATGTTGATCGAAGGATTTGATAATAATAACAGTTAGGCTTAGATACTTTAAAAAAGAAAAGAACGTCTCAAGCTGAGTCATTAATTATTTCAGTCAATCTTCTTCATCTAGCATGATTTTGGAAAAGAGTACGTCGAACATTTTGCCAGAGCTATGTTCATTTGCCTATTGTGAAGCTGGGTGTCGGTGTGGGTTTGAGTAAGGTTTATCATCTTATCTACAGTCGAACCCACACCCACTCCTTGGCAGTGTTAATGGAAATTTTGCAGCACAAAAGACTATTTCAATTGGCAGTGTTACTGCTTCACATTCACTTGTTGTCACTGATCTCAACAGACACTAACTTAGATATAGTTGTTGCTAACTATAATGGCAACAGCATATCTATACTAATTGGTTATGGTGATAGCAACTTTGCAGTAACAGTGGTGCTTGTAGCTGGCATTCACCTATACATCATCGTTGCAGGAGATATTTCAATGGTGATCCTCGACCAGATGTGGCACTCACGCATTTTATCAGTGAAGATGTTCCCAGGGCGAACATTCAGATAATAAGACCTTACAAGAATCGTACGTTTGATCATATTTGATCTGATACGATCAGACGAAAACCGTACGGAAAATCGTAGTCTCTGATTTCTTACACTAAGTCGTATTAACAGATCCTTGTAAGAATCTGTTGCGTCGTGAACTAATTACAGCACCATTCTATTTAAACTAATATGGCCCTCAAATAGCACTATAAGTTTGTNAACATAATACCGTGAACCACATTTCCATTTCATCTGTCCCATATTACACATGTTCACTTTTTCACCTAGACACTTACCACACTAGATCTCTCCTCCAATCAAATCGGACAAAACGGAGCACAACATCTCGCTGATGCCTTACAAAATAATACCGTGGATATCATTTTCTCTTCACTTATCTGATAAACCCTTCTCCACTTTTCACACAGACACTTAGCATACTACGTCTCAATTACAATCGAATCGGAGACAATGGAGCACAACATCTCGCTCATGCATTACAACATAACACCGTGAGTGTCACTTTCTCTTCATCTATCTCGCAAACGAATCTCCACTGTTTCACACAGGCACTTACCACACTAGACCTTACCTCCAACGAAATCGAAGCTCTCGGAGCACAACATCTCGCTGATGCATTGCAACATAACACCGTGAACCATATTCCCTCTTCATCTAGTTGATATATCCATCTCCACTTTTTCATACAGACACTTACCACACTCAATCTCTCTTCCAATCAAATCGGATCTCTCGGAGCACAACATCTCGCTGATGCATTACAACATAACACAGTGAACCATATTCCCTCTTCACCTATCTCACATACCCTTCTTCACCTTTTTACACAGACACTCACCACACTAAGTCTCTACTGGAATGTTATCCGAGACGACGGAATTCAGCATCTCGCTGGTGCATTACAACATAACACCGTGAGTCACATTCCTTCTTCATCTGGCTCATTTAGACATCTCCACTGCTTCACACAGGCGCTTACCACACTAGACCTTACCTCCAACGAAATCGAAGCTCTCGGAGCACAACATCTTGCTGATGCATTACAACATAACACGGTGAATGTCATTCTCTCTTGATCTATGTCACAAATCGGTCTTCAATTTTTCTCACAGACACTCACTACACTTGGACTCTACAACAATAAAATCGGAGATAACGGAACACAACATCTTGCTGATGCCTTACAACATAACACTGTGAATATAATTCTTTTCTAATCTTTCTCTTATAAACATCTCCGCTTTTTCACACAGACACTCACTGCACTGGATTTCTCCTGCAATGAGATCGGAGCTCTCGGAGCACAACATCTCGCTCATGCATTACAACATAACACTGTAAATATTAATCTCTCTTCATCTATTTGATATACCCACTTCCACTTTTTCACACAGACGGTTACCACACTAAATGTCTGGAACAATCAAATCGGAGACAACGGAGCAGAGCATCTTGGTGATGCATTAAAACACAACATGGTAAGTATGATTCTCTCGTCGTCTATCTGATACACTTGTCTCCACTTTTCCCCACAGACACTCATCACACTAAATCTTGACTCCAATCAAATTGGAGACAACGGAGCACAACATCTCGCTGATGCATTGCAACATAACACCGTGAATATTATTCTATCTTCATCTAGCTGATATACCCATCTCCATGTTTTCATATAGGCACTCACCACACTAGATCTGACGTCCAATCAAATTGGAAACAACGGAGCAGAACATCTCGCTGATGGATTAAAATATAACACCGTGAATGTCATTTCCTCTTCATTTATCTTGTATAGAGTTGGCCGGTTTTTCACACAGACACTCACTACACTAAGTCTCCGACACAATGAAATTGGACCTCTGGGAGCACGACATCTCGCTTATGCATTACAGCATAACACTGTGAACCTAATTTTATCTTCAGTTATCCGATAATCCTTCTCCAATTTCTTACACAGACACTCACCACATTAGATCTCTTCGGCAATCGAATTGAGGACAGTGGGGCACAACATCTCGCTCATGCATTACAACATAACACTGTGAACATCATGCTCTTTTCATCTATCTGATATACCCATCTCCACTTTCTCACATAGACGCTCAGCACACTGGATCTCACCTCCAATGAAATCGGAGCTGTGGGAGCACAACATCTCGCTGATGCATTACAACATAACACTGTGAACATCATGCTCTTTTCATCTATCTGATATACCCATCTCAATTTTTTCACACAGACGCTCACCACATTAATTCTCTGCTGGAGTCAAATTGGAGACATCGGAGCGCAGCATCTTGCTGATGCATTGCAACATAACACCGTGAAGATCATTCTATCTTCATCTTTCTCTTATAGACAACTCCACTTTTCTCCATAGACACTCACCAGACTAGAGCTCACTTCGAATCAAATCGGAGACAACGGAGCACAACTTCTCGCTAATGCATTACAATATAACACTGTGAATATCATTCGCTTTTCATTTGCTTGATATAACTATCTCCACTTTTCACACAGACACTCATTGCACTAGATCTCTCGTCCAATCAAATCGGAGACAACGGAGCAGAGCATCTTGGTGATGCATTAAAACACAACATGGTAAGTATGATTCTCTCGTCGTCTATCTGATACACTTGTCTCCACTTTTCCCCACAGACACTCAT